ATGTGTAATGCAGAAAGCAGAGCAAAAAATTTACTTTCGGGTCTTCTTTACACATTCTAAAAGAGCAAAGTATGGGCAAAATTCCAGCTTCGAAATAAAGAACCTGCTAGGTTGCTTTTAGGATCACAGGCTTCTTAAAATCAGACAATATCAATGCTTCTTTTAAAGACGCAAGTATTTTATTCCAGGTGTTTTTGGCTGCAAAGCCATAAGCTTGGTTCTTGTAATAATTTTTTTTTTGCTGCAGATGCAGCCTCCTTGCATACCATATGGTGGTAATTAACAGTTACAGACTTAGTTCTGAGTTTTCTTCTGCTTCGGTTATTGGTTGGTTTGGGACAAAATTTTAATGTCACAGAAACAGAGTTTTCTGTCTGAGTTTAACTGCGGATAGGAATAATGTGTATTTCTAGATGAGGAAGGAGGAGATGAGATCTGTTTAGAGTGCCAAGAGATATTTTGGAACTCTCACCAAGGACAACCTGTTTCTTTTCATCAAGTATTTCGCTGTCCCTCTGTAGAACTGAAATAGGCCTTGGATGGCCCCTGGAAACGGAGAGAGGCAATTTGAAAGATACAGTTGGAATGAATAGTTTCTTTTAACAGCAAAATGTTTGCGCTTTTTATGAGAGCAAGGGTAACATTGTGTAATCTTTAAAAAAGATATCGCTCAGTGAGGATAAGTCCATTGTCCAGTGACATGACTTTTCCTGTCAATCACAAAGGTGACAAGGGGGCTAGATTAAGTAAAGCTTGCCCAAGATTAACAAAGGAAGATTATTGACCTCATCCTGAAAGGGCAGAAGCCTGTTTTATCATTAAACCTTGGAAGAGGTATTTCCTCCATAGGTGGAAAGCTGTTTGGCAAAATAGAGGCAACTTTCTTGAAAAACGAACGAGTCTTCCTGTGGATTCTAGCTTGGAACAGACGCAGAAGACGCTTAACGTGGGCCAGTCCTTTTTTTTTTTTTTGTTGTTGCTGTTTACTTGCTAACTGTAAATTCTCAAAACTACATTTATTTCTGGAAATTTCCTTTCTACCTTCTTCAGGTGTTGGTGAGTACAATCCCAGCTCAGGGTTCGATGAAATGTTGTGCCAGCACACATTAGCAGAGCAATTCGCAATGCAAATGAACAATAGAGCCCCATCCATGAAGCAGCTGCTAACTGCATAAAACTGTTACCAGGATTAACAGTGCCAGAGGCTGGAATGTAATCAAACTTGAACAGGTGAAATGGTTACACAGCCGAGAGAGGCTGTTCGCTGGTAAAAGAGTGTCTGTTTTCTGCACTGTTTTGGTGACTGAGGGATAGGTTGTGCGTGTGGCTTGATGGACTTCGTTTTAAAATGTCAGTAGTAGATATTTAGGTTCTTTAATACCACGCTTCACAGTGTTGTTGCTTTTTTCTCAGTTAACTGAAAAAAGTCATGTGAGTTTGTCCTTTCAAAAATGGAACCTGCTAAATCTCACTTGTTGGGAGGGAACTTCCTTCTCAGGGGATTAATTTTAAACTGCTGCTGACATACCTTTCTTGCCATTAAGGATTTCTCTGAGTGTTTTCAGGGGGATAGTTAAATTCTCCTACATAGTATCAGAGGAGTTTCTTCGCTAAAAGTTTTTTAGCTTTATACAACCATTGACATTAGTAGGTTTTATGTGGAAGTATCCTGTCTTTTTACATGGTAAAAGTAAAATCCAAAACCACTGAAAGTTCTTTTTTTCACTTTCCCCAGTAATGGCATAAGAAACAGCAAAATAAAACACAGGGATGTAAAGAGAAAGCCAAGGTAACAGTGGAGCGTTTCAGCTGGTGGTTCTGAATGACAGAATAAAAAGATCATGGACAAGTGGGGAAGGCAGATTCTTGAGCTGGTGTGTGAGAGGATCCATGTTGAACTCTCATCAACAGCAGTAGCTGATGTGTGTGCTCATCAGCTGGTATGGAAAGGAGAGGATTCCTCTTAGATTGCAAATCACGCAATGAATGTGTGATTGCTACAGATCTTTTTGAATGAATAATTCACTGGTGTACCATAATTTAGCCCACTGAGATGTGATTGCAGCTGTTCCCCTACTGTATATGTGTTTTGATTAAGTGGAGTGTATCTTAAACCTCACAAGTGTATAAATAGCCCATGTATGTGAGATGCAAACACTGCATACATGCACACATAACAAGAGCAGTCTAAGGAAATACTTTGTTTTGGGAATGATTACTTAGATATATATTTTAATATATAATTTGTCTTTTTAAAGAAATTGCGTAGAACACTTCCATTTCCTTTTTTGTCCAGCTATGAAGTCTTCTTAACTGTGGTACCATATAAATCCTTTCAGCCAACATTGTAGTATCAGGGCGTCTCTGTGTTATTAATGAGTTTATCATTCCAAGACCTTTCCAATATAAGAAATTACTTCCTTTGTGCCTATTTTACAGGTAGGAGACTGAAATACAGAAACAAAAGTGTCTTTTTCCATGGTTATACAGAACATGTAAAAGAACAAGGAACTGAGGATCCAGAGTCCTTTCGTGATGCTTTGCCCACAAACTACTCTCTTGTCCTCTCCCTCTCACACTTCCTTTCCTTAGAAAAAGAGGCAGGGAAATAGTAGTAGTTTTGAAAATACTTGTGGGTTCCATTTGAATGCCAAGCAATTTGTGATTTTGAAAATCACCTTGTATTACCTTACGTATCATTCAATCTTGTGTTCTTATGCTGCTTCTCTTACAACAAACTTAGAATGTGTTTGTGCATACTCAGAATATATTTGTACACATAAGAACACTTGCCTGTACCCAAAAACATACGTGGAAGCAGCATTGATGTTTCCTGAGGTTTAGGCAGCTGTCGCAAGTACTTTGTGTCTGTGACCAGTGTGTGACATACACAGAAACACTAGTGAGTGTCTTTGGGGCCCACTTTGGAATAAAACCAAGGAACTAGTTCCTGGTAAAATTAGGAATTATACTGTTCCTATACATAATTGATGGTATGGGTGGATTTAAGAACTGTAACTAAGGATGGCATTTGGCTTATCTATCTTCAAAGTGTGAATAAGAAAGCAGCTTTCAAGATATTTTCTCTTTTGGCCTTGTCTGTAGGAAAAAAAATCACCACTTGGTGGTAAGAAGTTTGAGTGTTAGCTGAAATCTGAACTGATGCTGAAGTTAACTGTTTTGTTTGTCTAGATCAGTGTTAAAAAGCAGTTTATTCAGGTCTATATATGTGAAAAAAAATTACAGTCGGCTCCAACTCATTTTTGAAGTCCAGTGTTAGCGACTAGTAATTTTCCAAGTGCAGAACAAAAATGGAGGGAGTTGCAAGAAGACAAAAAAAGGAACACTTCTGTTGACTAGAGTCGGAAAATTTTTTAGGGCTTGGTCAAAAGCTCATTGACGTCAGTAGAAAGTCTCTCATTAACATCACTGGGTTTGGCTTTTGGGGCATATGATGGCCCAGATTGTAATCTCAGTTAAATCCGATTCTGTTAGGGAATTTATTCACTAGTATAACACATTCAAGCTGCTCAAAACTGTTTGCACTAAAAGTTTTCTTAACCAAAGGTAATATTTTTGCCAAAATGATGTAGTCTGTGAAAACAAATACGTTCTTTACTTCATATCTCCCATGTTGCTTTATTCAAAGTTTATTGAGATAATTTTTAGCAATTTATGTTCTATTTATGAAAAGACACATTTTTTGGAAATATTGCGGTTTATGAAATCAGAGACACCAAAAATTACTTGGGGAAAAAAAAAAGATAAAATTGTAACGTAAATTGCTAAAAACAGTATATGTGTCACTTTCATAACCTGTAAAATGAAAACAATTTAAAAATTATTAAGACTTTTTCAACCAAGTCTGTAACTCAGATCACAAGGTGGTCTAGGGGCTTTTTTAGAAATAATAGTCATTAAACATCTGGAATACAAACATGTAAGGAAATAGGATAATGAAAAAGAAAAAAACCTCTGGAGCATCTGATCAAAATAAAAACTGTTCCTGTTTGCAACATTGTATTATGCAGTGTACGTAGCTTGCAGCAAGCTCTGTTTGGAGACATTGACCTAAGTTTTGCAAGGTATAGATGGCATATGTTAGCAGAGGAAAAAAAAGGGTTTCAGAGATGTGTACAGAAAGGTAGGGTATAAAAGAGACATACAAGGGGAAAGAAATATATGCAGAGAACGTTGCTTTATGTTGGAGGAGGAGTGGAGGAGAAGGCTCTCACGGTAATGAAGGCAAGTTTGAAGATGCTGGAACCAGTTCTGGTTTCCATTAAAATTAATGAGTAGACCTCTGTGGACTCTCACGTGAGGAGGATCGTGTGTATGTTCCAGGTCACAGAGTTTTGCCATTGTGCTGCCAGTGAAAGTCATTAGGACCACCTGTGTGAAAAATATTGTCTCTACAAGAAATGAAGATATGAGATGGAAGAGGAGAATAGAAAGAGAATTAGAAAACAGAAAAGAATTGCTTCATCCCTTATAGATGGGAGAACTACTTGAACTGTGAGTTAAAATAAGTCATATGGTGAAGGGCATTTAATACTTGGTTACTATTTCATTTCTTAAAACAACTAGCCGTCAAGGCATTAAGTAGTTTATAAGGTCAGGAAATTAATGGTCCTTGTAAAAATTGAAGATTTTTTCGAAAGCAAGCTGTGAAAGAACAAACAATTAAAGGTAATCAATACCATTGTTATTAGGAAACCTATGAGTACAACACTTCTTCTCAATTAGGGAAAAACTGTATTTTATGTTTCTCTCCTGCAAGCTGATCTTTGTTCCCTTCAGCCTGTAATCGTGGTTTATGCTTTATGGATAGGCTTTGTTCTGGGTGTTTTTGAAGCATTGCATGCCTTTATAAAGGTTTCAACAGAAGAACAAACACCAATGAACTCAAAGAACAAAGGATTGATCTCTCTTTCTATTTTTATTTTTTTCTTCTGTAAGAAAAGAAAGAAATGTTTCATCTCATTTTTCTCCCCTTTCAGGAAGTTGATGGCAATAAAGTGATGTCTTCATTTGCCCCGCACAACTCATCTACCTCACCCTTGAAGGCAGAAGAAGGTGGGCGTCAGAGTGGAGAACCGTTGTCCAGCACAGCCCTGGGAACCCCTGAAAGGCGTAAAGGGAGCCTAGCGGATGTTGTAGACACCCTTAAGCAAAGAAAAATGGAAGAGCTCATAAAAAATGAGCCAGAAGGTAAGGCCTGGGAAACTGGCCAAAATTTTCTGTTTTGTTTTCTTTTCTCCAGATTCTTTGGATACGTATACTTTTTAATCTTCCCATTTTCTGCTCCATTTGCTTTTTCTCGCTAGCAAAATTTGAAGTAAAGAACTCATAGTTCTCGTCTACATTAGAGATAAATTTCAGCAATATCCCATCATAGCTAAAATTTTTAGCTTTTCCAAAATGAGAGCCTTTGTCTGTCTTTTTGTCACAGTTGCAATAGACATGGCAACCTCCTCGACATGGGTACAATGAACACTGTAATTTTTACAGCCTGGGGGTCATTTACACCACTACTTCCCCATCCTCCATTTCTAGAGCAAAAAGCAGTGTTATCAGCAATGTCATTTTTTTCGGTGAAATTATCTGGTAGGCACGTCATTATTTGAAAGGTAAGAAGTTAAATTTGGAATTCGTGAAAGCTTTTGTCTGGAGCATGTCCTATCATGTCATCTTCTATTTATCTGTGGTGCAGGTACTATACAAACAGACACAGTACAGGCTTTCTCTGCATTATGTCTGGCCAGCAAGTTTCAGCCTTGGTGTATCATCTCTGGAGAATCAGTTTCTTTTTGAGACTGTGTGTCCAGTTGGTGACTATGCCACTTGTGCTCTGTGGGCTGAGACTAAGACTGAACATCTCACTGTAGCTGAGAAGCTACAGAACAGCTTTCCTTTAAATAAGATTTTCAATTCCTGCCTATTTGAGGCAGAGTGAAACCCCTGACTGGAAGATGAAGTTCTCACTGTATCCTCCATAGGTGTCCAGCATTCAGGTTTACAGTTAGTTTTCCAAGGGACTGTGAGACAGCTGCTGTTGTGTGAACATACTGAGCCCTACTCCTTAATGCACAGTAATAAGACTTCATTTTCATTTACACCCGCCTATCCTGTTGTAGAAACCTATTTCGAACGTTTAAAAGCATGGCCCTCGGAGCCCATGTAGGTGTTGAAGCATGAGTTGACAGTATCTGCAAGAAAATTTTAGGACAACCTGCATACTGGAATGAAAACATGGATGCAAACACAGCCATGCTTGTCACAAACATAAGCACGACAGGACTGTAAATTGGTCGTCTTCTTGAGCACACAGTAAGGGTCTGTTGGGAAACAAATTCTTTGTCTAAGCATTTTTTTGAATATTATGTATAATCATAACATTTCATTTTGCATTTACATTGACTTAATGGTCAGTGCCATGACCTACCTTGTGCCTTTGAATGGAAAAGATCTTTCCTGTGTATGGTATGGGGTGGGAGGGAAGGAGACCAGACTTTTACATAAGAGGGAGGACAGAACAGGGAGTCGCGGGCAATGTATAAATACTCACAGAGTATGAGGTTGTACAAGCTGCACAGACTCCATTAAGGAAAGGCCACAGATAGACATGAGAATGGTTACAGAGCCTGTGCATTATCTCAGCTCTACTAAAATGAAAATATACAGTACAAACAAAAGATCTACAGCTTTGTGAAGAGATTGGGAGAGAGAGAGGGGGGCGAGCAACTGAATGTTGGGCTTTGCAAATGCATGCAACAGAAAATCTTTTCTTCCCTCTAGCCATTGTTCTATTGTCTTTCAAAGGCCATTAAAATGAACAGCAGGTTGTGATGAAAATTTCATTAAGCCCTAGTTAAATCATTATGAGGGTGCCATATTCATGTCTCTGCTCACTCCCCATCCAGGAAAAAATGAATAGGAAAGGGGTGGGGTTTTTTCCCCTTTCTCCTTAAAAGCAAACTAACAAAAGTTCAGAAGTTAGAAGAGAGTGGGAAATGGGACATGAAACAAAAGGAGGCCAGAGAGGTGAGCTGGCTAGGAAGAAAATTAGACTTGTGTAAGAGCATTGAAAGGTGGTGAGGGACAAATACATTATTTTGACAAGTCTCCCTCCCCCTTCCCTTCAGCCAACATGAATGTTTTTAGAGTGGCTAATTAAAAAATACATATTTCTGGGTGCAGATGGCAGGAGTGTTCTTAAGAGATCCT